AAAAGTATAAAGCAAGGCTGGCAGCCAAGGGGTATGCACAGAAGGAGGGTATGACTACACAGAAGTCTTTGCACCTATAGCACGTTGGGACACCATCAGAACACTTCTGCCCCTGGCTGCTGCTCATGGATTGACAGTATATCAGTTGGATGTCAAGAGTGCATTCCTACATGGTGATCTAACTAAAGATGTGTATGTGACCCAGCCTGAAGGATTTCAGGTTCCAGGGGAGGAAGCTAAGGTTTATAAACTCAACAAGGATCTTTATGGCTTGAAGCAGGCTCCAAGAGCATGGTACTCACGCATAGAGGCCTATTTTGAAGCTGTTGAATTTGAAAGATGCACATATGAACACACATTGTTCATAAAAAGAAGAGGTAATGATATGTTATTAGTAAGCCTTTATGTAGATGATGTAATGTATGCATCTAATAGTGAAGCCATGGTTTCTAAGTTGATAGCATCTATGCAATAAGAATTTGAAATGACAGATCTTGGAAAGATGAGGTTCTTTCTTGGGGTAGAGGTGATTCAGAATTAGGAAGGTATCTTCTTAGGCCAGCATAAGTATGCCAAAGAGATACTTAGAAGTATGGATTGCAACCTGTTAAGAACCCAATGGCTCCTAGAATGAAGATATATGTTGAAGGAGATGGCATTCCAGCCAATGCCACTCACTACAAGCAGCTGATTGGAAGCCTTTTGTACATGACTGCCACTAGACCTGGCATTATGTTTCCAGTTTGTTTGTTGAGCAGGTATATGGGGTCTGATATCCTACCAGACAATATATGTTAGCAGCGAAAAGGATACTGAGGTATCTTAAAGGGACTCTAGGACATGGCATCTGGTATGAGAAAGGAAGTACAAAAAATAGGATGGTGGGGTTCACTGATAGTGATTATGCAGGTGATGTGAATGATAGGAAGAGTACAAGTGGTTATGTGTTTTTCTTGGCTGGAGGTGCTGTTTCTTGGGCTTCTAAGAAGCAGACAGTGGTCACTTTGTCAACCACAAAGGCCGAGTTTGTTGCTGCTGCAGGTTGTGGTGCTCAATGTGTATGGCTAAGAAGGATACTTGAACAGATGGGGTGGACTTCGAGTGGGCAGGTAGCAACCAAGATATTCTGTGATAACTCAGCCATCAAGCTATCAAAAAATCCAGTGTTGCATGGAAAGAGCAAGCACATAGATGTGAGGTTCCATTTTCTGAGGGATTTGGTGAAGAATGAAATTGTTGAATTGGTTTATTGTGGTACTAGAGAACAGGTTGCAGACATCATGACAAAGGCTGTGAAGGGAGAGGTTTTTGATTACCTGAGAAATCAGCTTGGAGTCAGAGATATGAATGAAGTTATGAAGATGCAAGGAAGATGACTGAAGACTTACCAGACTTCAGTTCAAGGGGAGGAAATGTTGTTGTGAAAATAAAACTTGGGCTGCTAAGAGACGTTGGCCTTTGGCAGGTCTCAAGTCAAGTTTGAATGTTTTAGTTAAAGCTCGCTGTTTTGGTTAAGTTGTTGCGGTTTATGTTAGAGTCAGTGTGATAGACCGTTAATTGCACATATTTTTACCTCCATTCTTGAGCCGTTTGAGATGTTGATTCTCGTGTTTTAAGCCGATTTCAAGCTAGGTTGTGTGTCTATGTCACATTCCAGGATTTGGCATTGACGTGGAGGCGAGAAATCGAGTTTCGGGTCAAAAGGAGACTGTTGGATTAAAAGGGAGCTGGAGGAGCAAAATACTCGGCCAGGAGTGGAAATACCCGATCGGGTAAAAGGCAAGGAGAGGTCGGGGAAAAGCTAAAATCCCAGGAGGGGTCCCGGCTGGAATGCTTAAATCCCCGATCGGGTATTCTTGACCTCGATCGGGGATTAATCCTCTGCCAACGCGGTGCGTTTCAAAAATCCCCGGCCGGGCACCTAAAATACCCGACTGGGGATTCTGACCTGGGATCGCGAATGGCAGGTTCTTAAGGGAAAAGAAGGGCAAATTTGAAGGGTTACGAGTTTTAGAGAAAGAAAGTGATACCTAGAGAGAGCGACAACAGAGTTCCCTAGTGCCTTAGATCGATTTCATCATCAGTGGAGCTCGGATAACGCTTGGAGAAGTGCCGATTGTCGACCAGAAGCAGAACCCCATTCTTCATAGTATGATTCCTGCTTCTGAGCTAGAGTTTGCTTCTCTCTCCATGGAGTAACTTCCACATTCAACAGGGTATGAAGAACCCTAGATTTGTATGTTAGGTCTGATTGTATGAACCTGAGTATGAATCCATTGATTTGATTATATTCAATTGAGGTCTGATTTGTTGAATGGCATGGATCCTGATCAAATTCCTGTTGTTTCTGCTTTGACCTAGAAAGAGAATATCTGCCTAGGTTGATAGAGCACCCTTGATTGAAGGTATTGAATTGACGACTTTAGTCGATGAGTCAATTCACTATTATGTACCGGATTTACTTCGGTAGTGGAGGTTTGGTTCGTTAGGGCCTCAATCTGTTTACTCCGGTGGAGGTTAGTCGCCCGCTGGGGACTCAGATTGAGAGGGTATGGAGACCTTTAGTCGAGACTGCAGACTGTTTAAGAACCTCCCGCAGTATAACTACCTTTGAATTCCAACTTGGCAAATTACAATCTGGCTTAACTGCAGTCTAGGGGGAACCATATCCGGGTGACCTCTCTCAACTTGAAAACAACCTTTTACTGTTTTGCTTGCTTGTTTATTTGGACCTTCACTACACTTTCATTGCTAAATAATAAGAATTCACGGAGTAGTCATTACACTTAGGACCCGGGTTGACATTAAAACCCAAACCCGCTATAATACGCCCTAGTAGGTGGTTACAATGTCATGGTCAAGAAATAATAAGTCGTGGGTCATAAGTTAGTTGGTTAGGTTGTTAGCTAGTCTCATGGATTGAGGGAGGGTTAGTGGATGTCGTGTTTCAAGGAAAAACATATGTATAGATTTGTTTGATTTCATTAAATAATGCTCGTCAGTTTGCTTCACATCTTTGATAACAAAACTTACTTCTTCCACGACGGGATAGGAAAAGAGACTAATGGCAGAGGGAAGTGTCAAGGAGAGGGGTCATAAGACCCCACTTGGCCAAAATTTGGTTAACAAAAAGCTTTAGATACATATAGTTTTGTATGATTATTCAAGTTTAGGACCCCATAATCTCGTCGATCTTAGCTCACATAAGGATCTCAATCAACTCAAATTTCATTAGATACACATACATTAGTATTAGTAAATTTTTAAGGACCTCAATGAACACAAAGTTTGGCTACGCCACTGAAAGAGACAGTCCCCCTTCGATGAACATAATGCCCACCTAAACCCGACCACCACCGCTTGCCTACTGCCACTGCCGGATTCTTGGTACTGAGCAATAGGAAGGACACAGAGGAGGAAGGAGACTTTAAGGTTAGTTTTTTATTTTATTTTCATGCGCCGGACGGATTGAAAGTCCATCTCCGGCGAGATTGGGACGGGTTTTGACGTATCCCAACTCGTCGGAGATGGGTTTTTAACCCTTTCGGGGCTTCCAGCTGCGGGTTTGAAAGATAAGAATTAAGAAGGATATTTGAGTCATTTTAATAAAATTAGGGCGACGAATAAAATATTTTATGGCGACGAATAGCAATATCCTATTAATTTGTGATTGACATCATCGGAATCATCTCTTTTTTTCACGCTGTCCATTTTAATCCTCCCCTCAATCCATCAAGTATTGCAATTTGCGACATAGGTTTATGTTCATTATTCCGTTTAGGGACTCAATGCCAATAGGAAAGACCTCAAGAGGATTAGAACAGTGGGGATTATTTGTGGCCTCATAAGCTACACTATAACATGGTACGCATGGAACTAATGATATAATAAATCTCCCATTTGGTTTTTTGTTTCTAGAGACATTAGATCACTTTCCCTTATAAAAAGAGTGCATTATTGAGAATTTCCTTTCTTTCACATCCAGAATCTTTTGCTCCCGAATAGGAAGAGGAACCTTTGATTTCTGTTGGTGGGGACTGGGGTATACTTGCCATGTTTTGCAAGAGTGACCCTAAAGAAATCAATTGGGTAACAAAGGTTCCAAGTAAGGTAATTAATTAAATAATGTTACCCATTTTTGATACCCTAACTAAATAATGTTAAGTGGTAAGTAACGTGGTGTCCATGAATTTTATAATATTCGGCCGAAAAGAGATAACATAAATTAGTACTTACTAAACAACCTCTAATTAATTCAATTGCGCCTTCGAATTAATAGTGGCTTGGAGTTCAAGTCGCCCCTTTCCCTCACAATCTTAAAATTACCAAATCAGTATAAAAGAGAAATAAAATTTCCAAGTTGGAAATGTTTCCACTTAATTACGTCCCAAAATCGAGTTTACAAACGGGTCCTAATCCAGATTGGGATCTGACAAACGGGTCCTTATCCTTCACTGTTTCCACCCAAATTGACACACAAGGACAGCTTGTTGATTCCGCTGAATCCTAAGAACTAAAAATGGAGAGGAACAGAAAAGGATAAAAGAAATCTGAGAAGTATAGAGACTTCTTCAGACGTCAGCAGCCAAAACGATAATTAACATTGTTAAACAAATTGTTGTGGTGAGGCAGGCTCTTTTAATCCTAATCCCGTTTTAGAATGGGGAAATGGCAGATTAAGCTGATTAACCAACAATCATTTAACTAATGAAACAGAGTTCCAGTCTAATCGATTCCCCCCAAGTTGCAGAGCCACGCAACTCAAGAATTGACCCAGGCTGAGACTAAACCCAGTAGAAATTTCAGAACACATCATCGGTTTCAAACTCAACCAAGAGAAAATCAACAGCGACTCTGTTTCAGAGGTCGCAAACATTGAATCTCAACAATGGAACGGAGAAGCTTCTAGGCCAATCAAAACTTATGCTTGGCATCCAAGAAAATGGGTAAGAAAAACCCAGGAACAGAAAATTCTCCCTGGGAAAAGTTACCAGTCGATCTTCTACATAGTTGGTTTATCTAAACACATGTATCAAAATTTTCAGTTCCCACTAATCTAAGAAATCAAAATTCTTATCTGCATCGATATACATCTCTATCTTGTGGAAATTCAGCAAATTACGCAGCCGTTGGGGTTGTCGTCGGGACTTACCACTCGGTAGTTATAATTCGGGTGGAGATGACTGTAAACCGGTTGGGCCGCCATATAGGGATAATAAGGATTGTAGTGATAATGCTGAAACAGCTGCTGCAACTTGGATTCCTCCTCTTTCTTCTTCTTCTCCTCCTCCTCTTTCTTCTTCTTCTCTTCCTCTTTCTTCTTCTCTTCTTCTTTCTTCGGGTCGGGCGGTGGTCCGACCGTCAGAATCTCACCGTGACAATGCCTCTTCAGCTTGGTCACTATATCGATCGGATCCATGCTGCCAATCACCGTCATCTTGTTTTCCGTCATATCCACGGCGATCAAATCAATCCCTGTAATACCAGAAGAGTTTTGATTTCGTCCAAGGAAAAACAGGGGAAAGATGGAAAACAAGGGAAAGACGGAAAACAGAGGGTAATTGAGAGGGTGGGGGAAACCTGAGAGTGTGGAAACCGCCTTTATGGTCTTCTGCTTCATCCTGTCGTCGTGTATGTCTACCTTGAGGACCACTTTCTATAACGAGAAGAAAGAGTTGGAGATTAAACCCATAAAATTTTGAGGAAGAGAAAGGGACAGAGTAAGAAGGGTCAGTAGGTACCTTCATTGTTCTTGAGAGTGGAGGGTGAGCTGTAAGAGGAAGCAGGCGGAGAGAAAGAGTGTAAAACAATGGTGCGTGGTGGGTGATTTTCTGGTTCTGAGGGAAATCTAAAGGGTTGGTTGGAGTATTTATATTTGGGGACAGGGGAAAGGACGGAAAAGGACGAATGGAGTGAAAATCGGGAAAGCAGACGTGAGGGAGGCGGTGAAAATGGTTATAATAAGTTCCATTTGCAGTAACTCTTTGCTTTTTACTATTTTATTTCTAGGCTACAACTGGTTTAACGCCCCAAAATCAGTTGGTTTTGGGTTTGGGTAGAGAGGAGACTTGGGAAGGAAGTAAGTAAACGTATGTACTGCTAGGGATTTTTCCAGAAATAGCACCTTTAAATTTTTTTTTACTAAAATAGCACCTATTCGTAAAAATTTATACTAATAGCACCCCTTTTTAATAGAACGCACCTTGTAGATGCGTTTTATATATAAATCGCACCCTAAGAGTGCGTTTTACAAATAGATCGCACTGGTAAGGTGCGTTCCAATTATCTGGACTCAAATCGCACTTTAGCCAAGCGATTTACCTCTGACCTACTGAAATCGCATGGCCGAGGTACGATTTTAGGTCTGACCTATTAAAATCGCATCATAAAGGTGCGATTTGTTTCTGCCAGACAAAATCGCACCATGAGGATGCGATTTTAACATACAAACCGCACCTTGAAGGTGCAGTTTTGGTCAATCAATTTCCGACATGCCATGCAGACGTAACAGACGTGGGTCTGCATGGGCCTGCATGGCAGATGAAAATCGCACCTCTAAGGTGCGGTTTTCATCAGTGATTTTGCCTATAAAAGGCCTCCCGGACAACCACTTCTCTTCACACCTCTCCTTCTCCCTTCCCTTTTCAATTTTCTGTTGTAGCTCTATATTTCTTTAGTAGTTTTGCGATTAACGTTAACTCGTAAGTTGATGTAGCTCTATATTTCTTTAGTAGTTTTGCGATTAACGTTAACTCGTAAGTTGATGTAGCTCTATATTTCTTTAGTAGTTTTGCGATTAACGTTAACTCGTAAGTTGATTTAGTATTACATATTTCTTTAGTAGTTTTGCGATTAACGTTAACTCGTAAGTTGATTTAGTATTATTTTTATTTTTGATTTTTATGATATTAACTGAACTACAGTTTTATCGCAGATGGCATTCCAAAAGTTCACGCTTGGCTTACGGTGGAATGGTTACACGGAAGAGACCGGAAAGGGTGCCACCTTAGTAGGTGGCAATTTTCAGAAGATAAAGGTCGCTACCAGACCGCTGCTTGAAGACCTCCATCAAATGTGCACTAACGTTACTTGCATGGATGGCACGAGAAGAGTTGATCGTATGGTGTACCGATATCCAAACAGAGAAAGTGGGTCATTGTGGCATGAGGAATATCTCATAACCACTCAGGATGAGGTAGACGCCATGCTCGAATTCATGAGGTCCAACAATCTTTCCAAAGCCGAGATGTTCGTTTACACAGAGCCGGTCGTAGGCGTTGGAGGTCATTCTGGACACGGTCAAACATCTGGTATCCATGGTGGAGGTGAATTATATGGCGATCATCCCTACCAAAGTTACCATGATCCTCATTCATATTTTCAGTACCAAGAGCAAGGTGAAGGTCATCATCAATCATATGAATAAGAAGTTCAACCGGACCGGCCCAACCAACCTCAGTACAACTTCCTCTCAGGCAGTGGTAGTTTTCACAACTACCATTATGGAGCTGATGAAGGTGCCTTTCATGAGCTGGATCAAATGGAGGATGTCATGCCAGCACCAGTCAGTGACCCCTCCGATGAAGAAGGAGAGAACAACGTCAGTGCAAACAGCTCCGACCCTCTTGAAGGTGCCGATGATTCCGGACCAGAGTCAGACTCAGCTAATGATGATGAGGGGGCTCGTGACCGTGTACCAGTCCCCTACTACAATCACATTCCAGACGACAATTGGATGGTCGACAACGACATGGAGCTGCCAGAGGTCCCAGTATGGGGTCCACTCACTGGGTTTATGAAGGGCCAACAATTTGGCTCGAAGAAGGAGGTGCGTCACGCCATTGAGACAGAAGCAATGACCCGACATTTTAAATGGCACACAACTCATTCCAACACTAAAAGGCTCATAGTCAGATGTCGTAATCATCACGAGGGGTGCAATGTTAGGATTCGGGCCATCAACAGCAAGAGACACGGCCACTGGGTCATATCTCGTGCGGTGAACACACACACATGTGTGTCATCCATAACTTCCCAAGGCCATCGACAGTTGAAATCCAGGGTGGTTGCTGCGGCTATCAAGCATCTAATTGAGCAAGAGCCGGACCTAAAGGTGAAAGTCATAATCGCTGACATTGCAAGTCGTTATGGTATATGATTAACTATAAGAAGGCGTGGCATGGAAAGCAGAAAGCTCTGGCCGCCGTCTTTGGTGATTGGGAAGAATCATATGCATTCCTTCCCAGGTTAATTTTGGCATTGGAGGCGTCTAACCCTGGCACGGTTTTCTCCCCTCGATACCAAGATGAAGAGATACAACCCCCAGAGCCAGGTAACAAGCACCATTTCAGACGACTTTTTTGGGCATTCAAGCCATGTATTGATGGTTTTGGCTTCTGTGTCCCTGTCATCCAAGTGGATGGAACATTCCTTACCGGCAAGTACAAGGGCACTCTCCTGATTGCCAGTGGGGCGGATGCAAACAGACAAGTCTTTCCTTTAGCCTTCGCCATCGTTGAGGGAGAGAATGCTGATAGCTATGGATGGTTTTTCCGGCAAATTCAGCTCCATTGTACTAGGAGGACGAACCTGACAATAATCTCTGATCGGCACGCCGGCATTAGAGCTGCCATCTTAGGTTTAGATCCAGCCTGGAAGTGGTCCCAAAGGTGGTGCATACGACACTTCAAGAGCAACTGGAACCATCATTTCAAGCGGAAGAAGCTTGCTGATAACTTGTGGTGGATTGGTAAGTTTGTAATTAGCTGTATAATTTAGTTCCAGTTACAATATCTTAGTACATTTGGCGAGTGGTGCACTGGTTAGACTCTTTCTAAAGTGATGCATGCCTAAGGAAATGGGGTTTTAAGCGATTGTCATGATCCTCCCATTTCCTGGGAAAATCGGGTTTTAAGCGATCTTCAGATCCCCCCTTTTTCTGTCAAACAGACTGTGTTTCTAAGGAGATGTATACCTCTCCTAAGAGTCTAACGAGAGTAACTCCGGGCTGTTCGAATTTGTAAAAAATGCCGAAAATTGACTAACATACTACTTTTCTGTGTCTTCCTCAGCGGTTGCCTACCAAGAGAAAAAATTCCTGGAGAAGATGTAGAAGTTGCGCGAGTTATGCCCTGAAGGGGCACAGTGGCTGGATGGACATGACCTGTCCATGTGGACATTTCATAAAGATGGAGGGACAAGATGGGGTATTGCCAAAACAAACTCAGGTGAGAGTATCAACTCTGTCTACAAGGTCGTTCGTGCACTGCCAATCTCTGCCATTGTGGAGATGACTTTTTGGAAAACGAATGCATGGTTCGTCAAGCGACTCCACTGGGCAAGGACGAATGAGGCACATGGTAAGGTCCATTCCTATAAAGTCATGGAAGTAATGGAGAATGACAATCGCAAGAGCAGTCGACATAGTGTAACCGTTATGAATCGGGCAAATGGCGAGTATAGCGTGACGACCGGGCATCGGGAGGACGGTAGACGGGGGGGCCACCGCCATGAAGTTTTGGTCAATTTCAGGACAAAAGTTTGTGAGTGCTCATGCCAGAAGTATCAAGGGAGAGGGTGGCCTTGTTCTCATGCAATGGCCGTAATTAAAAACAGGAGCAAAGACCCCCCTCACTTCGTTAGTCCGTTCTTCAATATCGACTCACTCAAAAACACCTATGGACGGAGTTTTCGTGCATTGCCTGATGAAGTTTATTGGCCGATGTACGAAGAAAAATTGATCATCCCGCCGTTCGGACAGAGGCGTGAACCGGGTCGCCCGAGGAAAAAGAGAATTCAGAACGAAATGGATCAAAGTGGAAGACCACCACGAGGCCCAAGACGATGTTCAATATGCAAAGTTCTAGGACATGATAAACGAAGATGTCCAGGACCGATTGGTCCGCAAAATCCGGGTCCTGATGTACCGGAATCAGCTAATGCGACATAGTTTGCTTTTATCATTTTTTTCAAGCTAGTTGAGACTCTTACTTTGCAATTAAATGTGTATTGTTGATTGAACGAAATGTGTATTGTGTATTGTTGATTTTATCGTTCATTGGCTCGAAGTTGGGTTAGAACCCAGAATTTTCAATCCAATCTCTGATCTCCACTGTATTGTTGATTGAACTAATTGGGATTACATAAAGATAAAAGGCATAGTTCCAAGGGGATAGAAATAAAACCAAATTGAAACAACAATCCATTCGATAAACTAAGATAATAGGATAGTTCAAATTACATAGAAATTAAATTCAATTCTCAAATATAACTCAAGGAAGTCCACGAGCTTCACCGGAACCCACGGTTTTCTTGCTCCTTGTACGACGACCGACGGGAGTAACAATCGGTGGCGGCGGTGGCAAGTTTCGAACTCGGGCCGAGGTCGTTTGGCGCTCGTCGGTGCTGTGTCGGCGGGGAATCGGCACTTACGGGGTCGAGCGGGGGACATCCACGGAAGTACAGTGAGTAGTAGGAGGCCACTACTGATGAGGGCGAGTTCATGGCGTAAAATCGTGGTGTGCCGTCGCCGAGGAACCATCATGCCAAGTACCCGATGGGGGGTAGATCGGGCGGTAATCGTAGTATGCTCCATGGCGGGGATCGTTGTATGAGATCGGAGTGGGACTCGGAGGGGTTTGATGGTAGGTCGAGCGGGGATCGTAGTACGAGCCTTGGTGGGGAGTTTGGGTGGAACTCGGGCCAGCAACTTGGGGAGAACTCGGGCCGCCAACTTGTGGAGAACTCGGGCCGCCACCTTGGGGGGATCTCGGGCCGACACCTTGGGGAGCAACCAATGGAGGCGGCAGTTTCCACCCGGGATATGGCGTGACTTCGGGCTCGATGG